GTGCTGAGACTTTGTGCTGGCCCTTGGTTCAGTGGTGATTTCACTGGCACTCAGTCACCGTATGGGTGCATTGCAGACAGAGCCTTCTTTCCTCATTTCTCACTTGTGCATCTGCAGAGGTACAAGGGACAGCCCAGCCCCATGCTTCACAAAGGTGATTGTATATTCTTTCATACCAAATTCCAGGAAGAAGCTCAAGTCCTAGCAGGTCACACTGAATATCTGTTTACAAGAACTGTCCATTTCCTGAGACTATAGTGCCTTCCTTGTTGCTTCATGCATTGATCTGTCTTGACTGTAAGGAAAAAATACTGGTAAATACTCTTTTTATAATCTCAGTGACAAATCATGTGACCTTTGAACCACTGGAGAGTCAGTTAATGGGGTCATTTCTTCAATTACAACTGTGTGTTCTTTAATATCTATCTCAAGATAGGCAGGGGTTTCACACAGGCAAAATATTTACTGGAGAAACCCAGAGATTACAAAGCTGTAAGACCAAAACAGGAACAAAAATGTAGGGGTGACAGCATTTAAAGGCACTGCTTGGTACTTTTGAGAGCTGATTCTATATATTTAACATGCTAACCCAGCCTTATGTGAAATATTTAATTAAGTGGAAAGCAGTCTAGTCTCTTTGGAACCAGAGACCTTCTTGGGACATATGCTTATCAACCTGTGAAGGAAGTGTGGGAGGTTAATATGTGCTCCACAATCAAAACTTACACCTTCTTGCATCCTATCAGGGTCTTCAAGTCATGATTGGTTGATATATTTGTGAGCAGAGTTTAAATTCCAGCAGGTACTAAAGTGATGCACAAAACTAAGCCACAGTTGTTGTCACTAATCTTCAAAGCAAGGGAGAGATTCACTAGAGGATTTCTGCTTCTAAAAATTGCTTCACTGGGTAGCAAGGTAAGATATGGGCATTCCTCACAATCTTATCTTATTGAATTTTGCATGTTGGACCAAAAGAAATCTCTATCAGGAAGGCAAACAATGCTGTTAAAATATTGTGCATTCTACTTTTCCCTGCAGCTTGGTTTTGTGAGAGCTGCACACCTACCGCAGGATCAGTCTGCAAATCCCTTTCTCCCATGGGTGAGCATTCACTCCCACAAAGAGTCCTATGATTGTTTCTAAGATTACTTTTTTTTTAGTACAGTATCTTGCTAGTGGAATAAGGGTATCACCATTTGTCCCACAGTAAAGGAGGTAGAAGCAGAGTAAACATTCTATTCTAGTTCCATTTTAAACACACCTGTATAATTTGCACAGACTCCAACTGGTGTAGCTGAATAATAGAGAAAAAGTAGTATGTTAAGGGAAACTGACAGATTAAAACTTACATGTAAAGAATACATTTTCTCACCTGTGTTATGGACAACCTTCTAAGAATGCTAATATGACTATACTTTTAGAAATCCAGGGGGAAATCTGAGATCTTGACTCAAATGTTACTCCATCTGAGCACAGATAAACCTCCCATTAAATTCAAAGGGAGGTTATTCAGAGAAAAAGGAGCCTGATATTTAGCCTCTCATTTACAGCACCTTGATGACTGGGAGTTCAATAAGTACCTAATAGACTAAGGATTTTTTCTCCTTTACTCTCTGTTTTGCTTTTCACCCTTGACTGAGTTTAGGCAGGGAAGTCACTTTGGTTTACTTTGGATTATGTTCTTTTTCATTGTTTTCTTCTACATTACTGCTGTTCTGCTGTGTTTCACTTGTAAGCATGTCAGGGAATGTTTTCATACAAACAAATAAAAACCTTAATTGAGTGTAAAAAAATAAGTAATAGCATATAATCATTTATCTTACATTGTGCTGTATTATGATGGTTGCACTGGATGCATCTATATGTGCAATTAATTCAAAGCAAGAAACTCTGGAGCAGTTTGAGTCAGAGTAAACTACTGGGCACAACTTCTACAAGTGTGCCCAGGACAGCAGCAACCTGAGCCAGGGCGGAGCAGTTTACGCCAGGGTCAGAGGCACAGGGGATCAGCCCTATGCTTTGTGTGGCAGCGTCAGGTAGCGGAAGGGCTGGCTGGGGCATGAGGGTGCTGGAAGTGCAGAGCCATGTGGCTAGGTAGCAGGCAGGAGTCTGGGCCCCTCCTGGCTGGGCTGACCGGGTGCAATATATGCCTGCGGTCAGCATTTGTATGTGCATTTAATCGCAGTTAATTACCCCGCTGTACAACTACTATCTTACACCCGTGTTAATTAGTTTACTGCAACCTAATAGTGTTGCAAGTGTAGATGGCAATGCTTTACTCTGCAGATACTTAGTCTATGGGTATGTGTAGAGGCGGCCACTGAATAATACTTTACTATTTGTAGGGCATGTCTGCAGGTGCTGTTAATGCAAAGTGATAAACTCTGGTGCAGTTGGCACTGTAGTTTATTGCTCTTGGGCTCCACATTTACATATGTACCTGGAACTGCAACATGTTGAGCCAGGTCGGAGCAGCTGTGGCTGTCAGGAAGCCCGGAGGGTCAGCTTGCCAGCCTGGGGCTGCTCCAACCCAGCTCAACGTGCTGTGGAGGGGATGGCTGGGGCACAAGGGAGCTCCACTGTGAGGCTAGCCAGCAGGCAGCCTCCACATTGTGTTGACAAGTACTACACTATGGCAGCATTTATAAGTTTACTGTGCCCTAATAGGGGCTCACAGGTAGGTGCTGAGACTTTACCACAGAGCTAATTAGTCAGCTCCTCAATAAACACTTTGTGTAGATGTGCCTGCATAGTCCTATGAGGATGAATGGAACGCTTTAAGAGAAATATGCTTTCCATCATGTTAAGGGAAGCAGAATCTAGCCTTAACATGGTTCTCTTTAGTTCAGTGGAAACCTGTTAAGACTCAGTGACTCTATAAAGGCAGTACTGAACTTGCATCCTAAAAGAAACATTGAAAAGGATCTTCTACTGCTGCTGAACACTGCATGTTTACCATGCATCTGTGTTTTGTGAGTAAGGCATATGAGAAGCTTTCACCCTGCAGCTCCAGGTGTGGTATGCAACAGTGTGGGCTCTGCGTAGCATGCACTGCACAAAGTTGTTCTTCTCTCACTTCAGTGCTGTGCAATGATAAGCATATTTTATCTTGTGGTAATACAAGTAACAGTTCACACTGTGCTACATGAACCTGCCTGAAGAGCTTCCTTGTATTTGTCTGTAGCCATTTTTCTCACTGGATATAATGATTTTACTGTGGCTCTAACTTACATTTTGACTATGCATCAGTATTGCCTCTGAAGTCAGGGACCTACATTTGTGTCTGATCTGGTTATTGCCCTGACCTCTGTTTGCAGCGTTACTCAAATTAATAACTTTATTAATGTCCATAGTGTGATTTACATGATTAGTTAACTTAAGTAGGCACTATGTGGTTTTTGCACTGCTTTTCAGGCTCGAAGCAATAGCTATACTATACCCAACCCATTCTAGTCTGGTGGATATGTGCTGGACCAGGTCTTCTGTTCATCAGTACAGTGATTTACATATAGATGTCTGAAATAATTTTAATTTAGAAAGTGAGGTATACTGGGGGCAGAACCTCAAGTATAGCTCCATTGAGGCCCCCAGAGCTTTGCTGACATACACATGCTGAGGATCTGGACCACCCAGCACACAATTTATTTTGCAAGTAATTAAGCAGAAGCAAGTAAATAGATAAGTGTTAGAATGTGCTTTCAGAACATCCTTATATTTATATTAAGGAATTATGTCATACCATAATACTTTCCTTGCATGTAGATGTATTCTAAATGTACATGAACCATATGCCATTTACAGTTTATGTACATGTTTGAATTTATAATTCATTTTATAATCTGTTTCTTTCTAGTACACATATCTTGTTCTGGACTGAAATCACTGCAGAAGATGAAGAGTGCCCCTATATTTTTTTGCATTCTGTCAGTAGCTTGGTCTACTCCTGTAAGTTTTTCTTACAAATATTTTTAATAGGAGCCAGATAGTGAAACCCTTACTCACACTCATATCAATTACTCACATGAGTAGTCCCTAATGAGTACTATTTCAGTAAATAACATATTACAAATGTGGGTGAAGGGTTCACTCTCTCATCCAAAATGTCTTTATTTATTTATGAAATTCACTAAGGAAAATATTTTCCTTAAAGAAATTCCCAGTATCTTGCAAGAAACTCAGTTATCTTCTATAACTTTTATTGATCACATCAATAAGTTATCTTCTATAACTTTTTGTGCTCCCTTTGAGTCATCCAAGAATCTTGATCTTCTTTTTTAAAGATACATCAAAGTGAAAAGGGAAATGACAGCTTCCATAGAGAATACAAGGTATGTTATACAAAGTTTCCTATTCCCTTCTATATTTAATTATCTTATTTTTCTTCTTTCCCATGTTGAAGGCACCATTCAGTTTTGACCTTCCTCTACTAAAAAAGGCCCCAAATGCTATTGTACAATTTTAGAAAGAACACTGCTATTTAGAATCATTCATGGCTTCCTCCCCTGAACTGGCAGAAGTTCAGTTAAAGGTGTCATAGGCTGTGATCCATGAACCCAACAATTGTGCCTCCTGCCATGCTTACACATGCATGGCAGGAAGTGTGACTGTAGAACTGGGATCAGATCCCAATCACACCCTATTGTTGGTGCAGGGGGAGTCTGGGATCATGATCCTGGGCTCCCCCTGCATTGGCAATCAGTAAGCTGGGTGCCTGGTGTACACGCAGTTCCACAGTCTAATTATACATCACATGAAAAATGGTTTGTCTTATCAATTTTTAATTTTTGCATTTGTTAATTTAGTGATTTAAATAGTGATTAGATTATTTTTGAAGGGGTTTCTTTTTTAAAATAATAGGAAGTTACTTGTAGCAGTTGTGGAAATTAAACACAACTCTTCTATGGCTACAGTCTTGCCTGAGTATTTGGGCACATGGAAGAGAAATTTGATAAGAATTAAATTAAGTAAGTTTTTCTTTATAATCAGATATTATGAGAGTCTCTCCCTATACATCCAAACTGTATGAATCATTAACTATAGTTATATAATTATTTAAAATAAGTAATAATTTAAATTGAAGCTACCACTGAGACCTAGTTTTCAACCAACAGTTTATTAAAATCAGTGTTGCTACCTTTATTTATATCAGTTATGCATATATACCTGGTACTGGAAATCTGAAACAGACTGAACATATGAAAAGGTCCCATTAAGTCAACATTATGATGGGAGCAGATGACAGCAACATAGAGACCACTGGTGAGAGACATTACAGAAGGGCATTTCTTGTTTCACTGCATGCTTATATCTACACTTCAGCCAAAGACATAACTACACCTTGCACAGACATACCCAACTTAGCTATAAGCTAATTAACTTGGGTACTGATAGCGTATTTGTGTCAGCATGGAGCTCAGTGTGGGTTAGCTGCCTCGGTATTAAACCCAGAATCCTAGGGCACTTTGTGCCCCATGCTGTCATAATTATGCTCTGATCAGGACCCAAGCTAGGTTGTTTGAAGCTTGCTCAAGTATGTCTATAGGAGCTGCAGTAACAGCTTTGACTGCAATGTAGACATACTCATGCAAATAAAGCAGAATTTGCTACTGTCTGCCTTTACAGATGAGTATTGAATGACCAGCTAAACCTGAGAAAGTTATTTTCCATAGTTAATTGTTCATCCCTGCTTTGATTGCAGACTCAGATCAGCCTCCAGGATGGAGATACTGCTGACAACAATGTGCATTTATTTTCTCCAGAAAAGACAGAAGTGGTACAACAGGTATGCATTTGATAAATGGATTCTTTATTTCACTTGTGCTATGACTGAATACATCTCCTTGGAGGGAGGAGTGAAATCTTTGAAGGGAAGGGTGTCAGGACAGTGGAAATGAAACTGGGTATTAGTGTGGAAGGATAGTGAGATAACTGAATAATGGTGAGGTGGAAAAATGGGATTTTAGTGTATGTACACTTAACAACAGCCATGTAAATGGTAAGAAAAGACCCATCAACATGTCAGTCACTGGCTTCAGTGTTGTCTATCTATCACCCACTGTAGTTGTTTTATATAATCTGAACTTTGAGCCACAGATTCTGTCTTTCTCTGCATTTATAAATGGTGCAGAGTTATAAAGCCAGATTCTTAGTCCTGGCTGTGCAGGGGGTTGTGTAGAAAGTTCTATGTGTGTTTTCATCAATGTGTTTCCCCTGGGTATACAGGCCAGTAGGGTTCTGGGTTTGTAATGTAATAGAAAAGAGGTTTTAGAACATACAGGTGACAGTCTAAATAACAGATGTCTCATTTCAGGTTTGTAAATACTTATTTGAGTGCCTAAATGTGCATTTGGGAGTCTAACTTTAGATGCCTAGGTTGCATATAGATGTGCTAGTTTGTGTTCTAACTGGAACTTGTCGGAGCAGATTCAATTAATTGAATGTACTCATTAGAATGTTCCAGCGTTGCCTCACTGTCAAACATAGGCGACTGGTGCCCCCTGAGTCGGGGGGCACTTGCCCCCCAGTGGTCAGTCAGCATCTGGGGGGGGGTCCCCCCTGTGGCTGATCCCACTGACCGGGGGTGGGGGGTCTCCCACAGCCAATCCCACACACCTGCAGGTGGCAGGGACACACTGACACTTCTGGGTGAGCGTGATTGGCCATGGGGGGACCGTGGGAACTGCTTCTCCTGGCGCCCCACACCCTAGCCGGTGCTGTCGGGGGGCACCAGTGCTCTCACCTGCCCCCCCTGCTCAGGAATGCTGGCTGTCGGGGGTGCACCAGCGCTCTCAGGGGGTACATGTGCACCCCTGTGCACCTCCTATTCATCGCCACTGCTGTCAAGTGTATTAAGTCCCCACATGTCAAAATGGGCACAGGGGCACTTTAACTAAACCTTGTTGAATGAGCTTTAGTTAAAGTACCCCCCATGGCCATCTTGAAAGCCCGGGGGGGGAAGGGCTTAATACACATGACAGTGAACTGTTTTAATTAGAATGGCTGTCTGGGAACCAGTCAAATTAAAACACTCCTTTCCACTCCACCTCCAAGCACGTATATTGTCCTATATCCCATTACTAATACAGTAGTAGTAATGCACAGTTATGTATTACAGGAACGAATTTGCAGTTACATAGAAAGACTCTATCTTGTCACTCATGATCAATAATAAGGCATGATATAGGAAATGCAGTTCATTATTAGGAAGGATAAAAAATAAGAGAGAGATTATAAAAGTTGTAAGATCAGTTTACTTTAGTTGATTTATGGTTGTTATCAGAGTATCTAACCCAGTGGTTCTCAATCTTTTTAGATTCAAAGCACCCTTTGATAGACTCAAGGCACCCCTCAGACAATGTCAGCTCTTAGTTTTTATTCATTTTTTGACAACAGAAAAAATAATAGAGTAATTCTTCTGTTGCAAAGAACTCAGAAAGACCAAAACAGGTCAGACTGTTTTTAAGTTTATGGATTCCTATTTGACATCTTTGGGTTTATCTTGTAAGTCACATTTGCATGCCTAACAATGCTAACATTGCATGGCAGCCCACAGCACCCTTGAAATGGTCTCAAGGCCTTTCAGGGCGCTGCGTCACACTGGGTAAGAATCACTGATCTAACCCATTTAAAACAAAACATAAGACAGAATGTATTTGCTAACACATTTGAAAGTTCTGATTTCCTGTGGGTTCAAATGGAGAGGTTTTTCTCCTGTCACTTTTGAAATCTTATTCAGGGAAGTCTTATTCATGGAAGCATAAGGAAAATGTCTCATTGCAATGAAAGGTACAGTAGGATCAAATAGCAATGGATACTTCTGAAAGTTGTGGTACAAGTATATATTGTATTTGAAAACAAACAGTTACCAAAGGATGGTTTTTTGCACAAATACTCACATTAGCACCTGGTTCCATGGGGCATTTAAGTCAGGACAGCATATGCTAGTGAGCAAGACCACTGTTTAGTAAAATGAACAGGGGAATTAGTTCAGTTAGGGTGATAATGCCATTGACTTCTGAAATCATCACTACCCTAAAAGGAATTGAATGGAGAAATCAATTCAGTATACTGTCCACAATTCAAAGTTGTAGCCATCAGGAAAAGAGATCTCTTCATGAGACAAGATGCTGAGATAGTAGGTGAAAAAGATCAGTGGTAAAGTGGCAGTAGGTATCCTAACTTAGTTGCAAGTAACTTAAAATTTCAAATGTGTAGGAACTTTTCAGAATGAAAATGTTTCTGCATTCACTTTAAATGGTAAAGTATAGAACGAAGAGCAAGGAAATCTGAGTTTCACTGATAGCACTTTCACAGGCTTCATGTGTGTCCCTGGGAAATTCACTTAGGCCCAGACTTTCAAAAATAGTCTTGAATTTTTGGCATCTTCATTTCTGGATGCCTGGTACTGGATACATGGGGCCTGATTTTCCAAAGTTCATTTCCGGTTTCATTGGTTTTGCCACCGGTGGTTCTGGGTTCAGTGACTAGCTGCTGGGCTCCCCCAGTTGGTGATCTGGTGCCCCCCCAGGCTCGGTAGGCACTATTTGCCCATGGTACTTAGCACTCCCATTCTGGTGAGATACAAGAAGATAAAACATTTTGCAAGTGAAGCTGGTTAGAAATATAGCTGGCACTAATTGTAAGTTTATTAATTCCAGCTAGCAATTGGGCAGGAGGTGTTCTCACAAGAGACTGAGCAAGTAAGAGGCTTGTTTTTCTGCTTGGTAAAGAGCATGGGGGCGCTCTGTTTCTCTGAAAACCTGGCTGTATGTATAAGAAGTTCAGTTCCCTCAAACTGAAGCACCAGACCCAGTGCCCACTCTTGAACTCTTGCTGTGTGCTTGCCTCACTGTCTGTGTGTGTGCGTAGTGTGTGTAGGCAAGCACACAGTGTGTAGTGAATCAAGCACACAGAATGTGTGTGTGTGTGTGTGTGTGTGTGTGTAGCGAGGCAAGCACACCGTGTGTGTGTGTAGCAAGGCAAGCAGTCATGTCTGTGTGTGTGCATGTAGCAAGGCAAGCACACAGTGTCTGTGTGTGTGTAGTGAGGCAAGCACTGTGTGTGTGTGTGTGTGTGTGTGCGTGTGTGTGTGTGTATGTGTGTGCGTGTGTGTTTGTAGGGCGAGTCCCACAAGCATTCCCCACCATACACATGCACCCACACATCCCTTGCACTGCCATACATGCAGACCCCCACACTCCCTCACACAACCCAGCCACCCTCCCCCCACACAAATTCCCACACAAACCCCATACACACCCACACTCCACACAGACAGCCACATGTTCACTGACCCCACAACCCTCCACACCTGTCCACCCCCACACATACCTACACCCTCCCCCACATACCCATACACCCACAAACCTATACCCACCCCCCATGCTCCCCATAGTTTCCAAGAGTAAGACCTCATTTTAAGCTATTGTGTGATCACTTCTATGTACACTACACAAACGCATGTAAATCAGGACAAAAAGATTTTTTGAAATCAAGTTGATGACTGTTGTAGATGTTTGATTTTTAGAATATAATTTGTTTTTTTCTGGTTCTGAGTTGGCAAAACCCCTTGCTGAACGGAGCACTTCTGAGGGCAAGGGGAGGGACTTCTGGTGGCAAAGGTCAAGGGGCTAGGGGACAGGACTTCCATTCTCAAGATGGCGACCAAGGGGCAGGGCACCTGTTAAGGGCTGGGGTTACCCATGCGGCCCTCGACAGCTTGCCATAACTCAGTAAGTGGCCCTTCACCCAAAATAGTTGCCTGCCCCAATCTAATAGCATCAAGTACAGACAGTAGCTATCTAGGTTTTAAAGAATAGTCAGGCACACCTGCTTGGACACTTCCTCTCTGCATAAAAGGCAAACAACCCACATGTTCTCCTCAGAATACCAGGGGCCCAATTGCTAGTTGAGGTTAGCTCCCCTACAATTATCACCACTTGTATGTCTCACCAACTTCCAGGCTTTTATTTATTTAGAAACATGCCTCAGGGCACCTTGGAAATATCTGCCACCTAGCATCCTGCTGCTTAGTTGTACAATAGGAGTGGACACGGGACACTTCGCAGAATCTAGTATTGGCCCCACTGAAGTTAGTGGGAGTACTGCCATGGGGTTGAATGAGACCAGAAGCAGACCCGCACAAGTCAGCAGGAGGAAGAATAGAATGGCTAAATCCCCAGAGCAATGCTGCTGGTAAGGCAGCAGCCTCATCGCCAGCATGACACTTGGTAATTTCCAGCCAGTGCAGGGCTAATTTGGTAATATTTAAAGGATGGTGGTTTTCCTGTCTGCTCCAAATATAAGCACAGGCTCTGATTTTAGCTCCCATTGCTAGCATATGTTCACCAAACAGGCTTACACCTGCAAACAAGCCATGTGCCATTGTCACGGCACATGCTGAGAAAAACAAGATTCATGCTCCGGGGAAACAAAAGGGTTCGATTTCCTTGTCAAAACTGATAGATGTGATCAGAAACAGAAATTCTGTTAGCAGGATAAGTGCTAAAAGTCAGACTGTGTTTAGAACAATACCATTAGTTGCAGAGAGAAGAAGGGCCTCTTTTGGGGGGAGTGGACAATTTCATTTATTTTTAATCCTGAGAACTCTAAATTGGTGGATGCATGCAGACTTTATTTGTTCCTGTACATCTATCCTCCACCTTTCTGCAAATGAGACCCCTCTTAGCTCCTCCACCATATTTCTCTCATGAACATCACATGTTGTTTTCTAACGAGCAGAGAGCTTCATGTTTCATGTCTGCAGCCCCTGGATCACTGGTGCTGTTGGCTCCTTTCATTCAGGACCTGGTTGCCTTTTTCTTATGGCCAGAGTTGGCCTGGCTTGATGTCTAATTGTGATATGCCAGCAAATATGCAGCATTTCTGTAATTGCCTACAGGAATACAGTATGTCTTCAGGCATCAAAGGCATGTGAAAAGTTTGAGGATGCAGTTTGAAGGTCTGAAATTTGAAAACATGGTGGTGAAATGGGAAGCGGCATATTGGACGTTTCACTTTAGAAAGAAAGAACCAGTAGGTTTTAGGAATAACCCAGTTTGATTATCATATGTTTTATGAGGTAAGTCAAGGGATGGGTCTGTCTCATTTGCTGTTTTTGAGCTCATACCTTGAAGCATGTATTTCTTTATTTTGTATTTTCATGGGCTTTAAGGGGAGCCACTGGAGAAACAGAGAGCTGGCAGCCATGGAGCAGACTTGGCAGCTCCTAGCTGTTACATGCAAGGAAGATGAGAACAATTCAAATGCAGCAAACCCACTTCAACTTTAACCTCGGATGAAGGAGTGTTAAAGTTGAAGCAGGTTTACTGTATTTTAATTGTTCTCATTTTATTCACACTTTCACAATCAGAATGTGCCAGATGCTGCCCTTTTGAAATATTCCCATTTTGAACATGATGTACCTAACTTCAGCTGGAGCTAATACTCACCCAAAGAGCACACTTAGCTCATCTTTTCATAGATTCATAGATGTTAGGGTCGGAAGGGACCTCAATAGATCATCGAGTCTGACCCCCTGCATAGGCAGGAAAGAGT